CGAGAGCCATAAGCCGGATACAAAAACCCACCCAGTGTCTCTGGCTCTCAGTTACTTACTGGAAAATACACAAGTGTTTTTATGGATGAGTGATTTGGTTCTGAAGTGTAATTGAAAGTCCCAGCTTGTTTTTATTGCTGTATGGTGGAAACTCATTTTCTCAGTATAGGGTCCAGCATTCATTTGCAAGGCTTGTGAGAACTAGGATGCTATCAGGAAAGTTATGGTGCCTTTTCTGGTCTGTCCTTTAGTGGTAGAACAAAGTGATTAACCTGTCCTCCTTTCTTGAGGTCTATGTTGGAAGCTTGGGGATTTCCTCCCCTATCACATCCCTCTTGAAGTTACAGCTTTGTTCTGGCTGCAGTCTCTCTATTTCATGGATACAGCTCGAGTTCCTTAAACAAGTTTCCATCCTGTGTCTCCACCCGCTTAAACTTCAAACACTTCATAAAGCTTTGGATCACTCTTAGCTTAAATATTTTCTTTTATTCTTGCATTCGTAAAGTAGGTCAGTCTTAAGGGTGACATTTTTTTATAAAACAGCTTTTTCCAGGAGTTCTGTGGTTGATGAGTAACGGATATAAAGCTTAAGTGTTTGATCATGATATTAACACTAGAAGTGATTTTGAGTGAAATGCTATTCTGAATTTTGTAAAGAGAATGAATGGTGACATTGGGCCTTATGCCTTTTACTCACCTTCCTGGGCAAATTCATAAAAAGCAATTTTAACAGGGATGGAAGAACACTGGTTGTCCTCAGAGATGACAGGAATATCATCTGGCAGTGTTTTGGTTGTTAATAAAGGGACACGACAACCAGAAGACTGTTTTTTTTCATCATTCTGTAACAAACTTTTGCCTGTAGGTAAACCCAGAACACAACCCGGAGAGATCCGTGTCCTTAAGCAGAAGAGGAGCGATTGCTTTGCATCAAATTGCTGTCCTTTGAAAATGGTTTATCCTTTAGGGATGTTTCTGAGGTACCCCAATATGAACTGGAGTCAGATCTCTTGTACGTTTCAAAAGCATCTCGAGCTTCTAAAGGAGAGGGATTGCCTTTTACATCTGCTGTTGTGCGGGAGGAAAACGTACCACCAGCAGGCGTATCCAGAACGGGTGATCAAAGGAAATTCTGTTGGATCCAGGAGCTTTGTGGTGCTTTCAAAGTGTTCTGCTCCAACTACTGCATGTAATTTTGATGGGCCTGTGATCTGCTTTGCCCATCCATTTCTCTACTAGGGAAGATACCAGCTTGTGCTTTCCAGGGACCTTTTCCAAGCTGGTTACCCCTCCTGCTTTTTTAGTATGTGGTGAAGGGGTTTCTTGGAGGTAGTCCAGCCTTCTTGCAGCACATCCAAGTTTATGAATGTAGATTTAAATTCCTACCAATCAGTCTGTCATCCAGTTTTCTGTTATATAGAAGCCAATTAACCTGTAGCACTTCTTTATTTTTCTTGAAGAAAACAGGTTTCAGAGAATGTTCCCCTGCCCAGACATGACTTCCCTGCGTATAGATAGTCTTCAGAAATCCCACTTCCATGCATTTCAGTTGCCACGCGAGGAAAGGTGAAATCTAATGTAGTGATCAACAATATATATTTTTCTCCCCGTGAAGGAGGAGTGAATTTTGAAGTTGTCATATATTGCTGAAGCACAGAGGAGGCTTTGGCTAATATATATCCCAGCGTGCCTTGGATTCATAACGGTTCAATCGCTGGCATTGTTGTTTGAGTCTCAAGATACTGGATCTGGCTATGGCAAAGCAACTTTATTGAAATAGCATGTTGGTATTTAAAACAATATTAATACTATATTTGATTCATTAAATATACAAAGGCAAGTTAAAGCGTTTCCATGTGTGCACTGTTAGTTCTGGCGGGAGGTTCTTCAGATGGTTTTATGTGGTTTCAGACAACATTTTAGCACATTCTTAAAATACCCACAAAAGCCTTTATGTAAAATCTCATAAAGGTGAACCACATAAAAATTATTTTTTTCCTGTTTCATGTCATTAGGATCAAAGTACAGTAGGTAAGAATAAATTTCAAAAAACCTTGTTTTGGTCCCTCTCAATTAATGTTTCATGCTCATAGCAAGCTTATAAAGTGGGTAATGGGGAAACTGTCTGTACACACTGTAATGTTCTCAGTGGCTGCCAGTTCATTTTGAGTGAATTCGCTTATTCTATATGTGAATTTTTTTTTTTTTTTTTTGGAAACCTGGTCTGGAAATGGACAATAGCTTCTGCTCTCTGGCCTTTGATTTGCGCTGCCCTTTTGTCAAAGGAAGGGTCGCTTAGATTGGAACTGAGCTTCGCTGCGTGACTGAAATTCCCATTAACTGCATTAACCAAAATCCATTTGTGAATTCCCCAGGGGATATAAAAAGGGTGTTTGTTGGTTTGTTAGGTTTAAATTGCCTGCTGGAAGTCTGGCTTTAGCATGCCTGTGGAGCAAAGGGCTTTACTTTTTTAATGGCATGTTCTCAGTGGCTTGACAAATGTCATAGGACAGCGCTCTGCGTGTTGGTTACGTAAATGCCCAGGCTAAGCTTGATAACAAGTAGCAGTAGTCACCCGTTATAAAGATGATGATATGGTGAGTTAATATGAAGTCATATACCCCTCCTGGGGTCAACATTGGTTTTGATACAGACTTGGATGTGTGCAGTTAAAAAGGATTGGGGCTCTTTTGGTGACTCTGCCTTCTTGAGACAACATACTGGTCTGATGCTGTAAGTGCAGAGAGAATGTTGAAAGTTGCCAATGTTATTTGTGTTAACTTCCCCATATCTTTTTCTCCTGACTTACAGAAAAGGATGGTTTAGTATTCTGGAATCTACAATACTTCAAGTTAATATATGAAGTCCAAAATGCACAGTAAATCAAATCTTAAATGTCATTAGCAGCTGTCAGGCTCGTGTTTAGAAAGGAGGGGAGCATGAAGGTGGGAGGGTTCAACAAGTTTTTCATGTTGGCGATGAGTGATACTTTCCTTTCTTGCAGAAGAGGAGAAACATGCAGTCACTTGCAGATCTACGTGATCATCTCGGTCATGACAGTAAGAGGCAGGAACATAGAATGGTTTAATCTGCGTGACTCTCTCCCAGTTTAGCTGCTAGGAACTGTCAATCATAGCAGCTCCTTGTGTCTTTAGATTATGAGCTTTTGCTCTCCTCCAGACAACGAATTCTCAGGTGTTTTGTCTGCTTTGTGTACGTACTTGCAGAATGGCAGTAGGCGCTCGGAAGAGAGTAGGAATGGCTGAATATGAGCCAGCAGTGTGCCCAGGTGGCCAAGAAGGCCAATGGCATCCTGGCCTGTATCAGAAATAGTGTGACCAGCAGGAGTAGGGAAGTGATCGTGCCCCTGTACTCGGTGCTGGTGAGGCCGCACCTCGAATACTGTGTTCAGTTTTGGGCCCCTCACTACAAGAAAGATGTTGCACTGCTGGAACATGTCCAGAGGAGAGCAACCAAGCTGGTGAGGGGTCTGGAACACAAGTCATACGAGGAGCGGCTGAGGGAACTGGGGTTATTTAGTCTGGAGAAGAGGAGGCTGAGGGGAGACCTGATCGCCCTCTACAACTACCTGAAAGGAGGCTGTAGTGGGGGGGGGGTCGGCCTCTTCTCCCTGGTAACAGAGGCTAGATGAGGTGCTTAGGGACATGGTTTAGTGGTGGGATATCAGGGTTAGGTTAAAGGTTGGACTCAATGATCTCAAAGGTCTTTTCCAACCAAAGTGATTCTATGATTCTACTAAAATATGTTGTCGTTGAAGTTGCCTCTCCTCCCTAGTTCTTCGCAGGAGGTGGTGATTCTGTGCAGCATGAGGTCGTCGCTGAGATCTAAGAGTTGTGCGCCATGAAAGAGTATTCTTTTGCTCGATTCTCCTTATGGCTGTTTGGTAACTTGAGAATGGAAACTGTTGATATAATGCTGTGGGATACAGTTTCGGTTTTTTAGAAGCCAAAATTGGTTCTTGTGCATCTTTCTTCCTACAGTGTTGGGTTGTTTACCCTTACTTTAAAGTGTGTCTTTCTGGCACATAAGGAGCCTAGCACTAGTGTTATAAAAGAAGAGTTGGGTTCTACAGGTGTCACTGCTTTGGTAGTTTTCTAGGAGCATACTTTTTGCTATCATACCTGAGAGTTAGGTAACCTAGCCTGCTCTCTATTGTATACTGTACCTGAAGCTGGAATAATAGGTAAACCTCGTCAACATCCCTTCATTTCTAAGAACCTTGGTTTCAGTTCAACTCTATTTGCAATAAATCAATAAGTCAGCTTGACACAAACTTTTGAGACAGCAGCGTAAAGCTTCTTACTTGCTCCCTTTTGTCTTAATTAGCGGACTCTGTTGTAAAGAGCTTCCAGACTTTCCCAATAGTGAGAGAAAAGGAAAAAAAAAAAAAACCCAAAAGACCAAACTGTAAAATAAAGCCTTGCTCTCAGCCTACTTTGTAGCTTGTGCTTTTACCAGCTGTTATAGTTAATTGGAATCAGAGGAACTGTTTGCTCAAGTGCTGTAGAAATCTGTAGCTAGCTCTGTTTCTCACTAGACTTTTATTCTCCTTTAGAGAAATGTACAGTTTTTTGTAATTAAAGTCTCTTTATTATAACATGATTTAAACTGCTGTGTTTCTAGGTATATAACTGGTGAGAGTGTGCCGTCTTTAAAGAAAAAAAAAAAAAACCTTTACTAAGATAGAGAGATTCTGCTTATTTAAGATTATTATTGATAATCTGACTTTGGCTTGGATCCTGCTTCCTTGTAACACACCTATTGGATTCTGTCCCACAGGTATTTTGAAGGTGGAGTCTCCTCTGTCTACCTCTGGGATCTGGATCATGGTTTTGCCGGGGTGATCCTCATTAAGAAAGCTGGAGATGGATCCTTTGCTAAGATAGAGAGATTCTGCTTATTTAAGATTATTATTGATAATCTGACTCTGGCTTGGATCCTGCTTCCTTGTAACACACCTATTGGATTCTGTCCCACAGGTATTTTGAAGGTGGAGTCTCCTCTGTCTACCTCTGGGATCTGGATCATGGTTTTGCCGGGGTGATCCTCATTAAGAAAGCTGGAGATGGATCAAAGAAGATTAAGGGATGCTGGGATTCCATCCACGTGGTGGAGGTTCAGGTACAGCCTCTGGGGCAGCTGATATTCCTAAGTGAAAACAAAACCCAGTTAATTCCAGACAATTAACGAGCACAGGTGTTCCACTGAACAATGCAGTATTGTGTTAGGGGCTGTAAACTTCTTTCCCCTGTTAATTTTTGAAAATTCCCTGAAGCAATTTGGATAGAGATAAGTCAGGGCTGTAATCAAAAAGAATCCCAGAAGAATTGAAAATATGTTACTTTCTGTGCATGTGATGCTGAGATTATTTTTTTTTTTTTTTTTAACATAAAGGTCTACAGATAAATATCACTAATTAGGTAATAAAACCAAGGTAATAGGAGGTTAAATTGCTCTAACTAGATTTGCTTTGGAAAATTAGGGGAATGTGCACACTGAAAATAGTTTTTAAGAAACAGACTGTGCTATGTGAGTGGAATTACGCATGTCCTGTTGCTTGTGGGGTCTTTGGGGCCAGCCACCATTTAGTTTTCGAAAGGATTTTAACCTTTTGTCTCTATCCTTTTTGTTATTCTTCCACTTCTAGGAGAAATCCAGTGGTCGTACTGCTCATTACAAGCTGACCTCCACAGTGATGCTGTGGCTGCAGACCAATAAAACTGGTTCTGGTACCATGAACCTTGGAGGGAGCCTTACCAGACAGGTATGTCTGCATATTGGCACGCGTGTACGCTGCAGACCCAAGGCATGCCTTTCCTTATTTATATACCCAGTAGCCCCAGTCAGGAACAAAAAGTTGATTTTGTGAGGTGTTGTATAAACATCTATTCTCCTGCTGCGTATGCAGCCCAGTGAAACAGTTAATGCGTAAGGGTGTAATTACCAGGAAACCCCTTGAACTTTGCTTGATGGCAGCATAGCTTTCAATTAAAAATAGAAAACATTCGGTAGGCGTTTAGACTTGCTTTTAAGTCTTAGTTTTTATTTTGGTAATCCTAAATTTTTATACTTCCATATGTGTTACTCAGATATTTTTATCTGTAAGATTTGCCCACTTTCTTACTGGAAGATTCCAATAGGATTATAAAAATACAAGATGACCTCTTTTATTATGTGTCTTTTTTAAAAACCAGCTAGGCTACTGTGAATGAACCTGTATTTTGCATTAACTATAGAATTCTTCTGTTCTTAAAGATGTCAGTTATCTTTTAGTATCCTTTTTTAGTATTTTCTTCCTGCAGTGCCAGGACACTGATTTAAAAAAAAAAAAATCTCTTAAAAAAAAATCTTCTGAACATTTGGGGGTTTGTGCCAGTGTTAATTACTTTGACTTCCCCTTGAGAGCGCCGTTTTTCATAAGGAAGGTGCCAGGCTGATGACTGTTCAGGCAGTGCTGCTGTCTTAGTCTCTGACGGGCAGAATCTGCTGGATTTGACTTCACTTGGGTGACAGAGATTCTGCCGCAGCCACCTGCCTTAGGTTGCCATGTCCCTACTTCATGCTGCTGATGAATTGCAGTTGCTTAAAATCTGGACTGTGGAAATCACTGACTCGAGCAGAGTAATAAACTCCAGAGGACAGGAGGCATATTGTATGGTCATGAGTGACTAGAGAGATTGGCAGTAGCCAGAACTCCTTTATGAGACTTCCCAGGGCAGACTGTTGCTTTCGATACAAAGGACAATGTAGACTCTGTTAAACAGTTCATGTTTTTGTACAGGTTTGAGCCAGGCGAAGGAAAGAAGGATCTGTGATTGCAGAGAGGAACTGAAATTGCGTTAGTATTTCAGTCACAGAAGCTTGCCCCAGACCTAGGTGATTTTTCTTTCCACGTTGTTGATTTACAGAAGAAGCTGATGGAAAAGCAGGCGGGGAAAAGGCATCTGGAGACAGTTTTGAGCATTGCGTACTTTTAAACTGTTTGCAGTAATTACACCCGAGTTATGGTGACCCGGACAAATATTTAATCACAGGCCTTCCTAATACTTTAAATCATAGCTGTGAAGTGGAGGCCAAGGGCTTGACTCTGGCCGTGGCCTTACGGTGCGTGAGAGCTGTGCCAAGGAAAACAAGAGTCTGTTGAGAATGGGTGTCCTCAGTACACCTTGGCCTGAACTGCCGGGCCTTGTTTAGCTTGACTTTCACTCTCGAAGCTTTAGTGGGGAGATTCATGCTTCTGTCATCATTTTAACAGCAGATCATTTAATTCATATGTGATGCATTAAAGCAGGGGCCTGCTTCCAATGTAAGTAACCATAAAAAAGCCACTGGGGTAATGATGCACTGCTTCTGCACAAACAATGGAAACTTGAGTTTCAGAATTTCGCTTTGGGCTGGGGATTTTCTGTTTGCAGATGCCATAGTAGGCTTAATGGGACAGGCTTCATCAGAATCCGTAGCAGAAAACTAAAATCTTCATGCTGCCTTGAGGTATGCTATGTGAGGAGGAGCTGTTTGTCCTGAGCCATTTATGTAGCTGTAGGTGGACTAAACTCCTGAGTGCAAGGCTTTTACTTTGCTGTAAATCCAGTTTGCCACATCACCTAAGGACAGCAGCTTTTATTTTTACTTTTTGGTAGGCTTTTTACACAGTCCACAGCAAACTTAGGCGCTGGAAGTAGGTTTTAGTTATCATTAGTATGTGACACTTTTACCTTGACGATACCGATAATCTGATGTTCTAACCATTATTTTGAAATAATTTTGTTCATGGTAAACTGTACATGGTTTTGGTCAACTCAATGTTCAAGCTACTTGAACCACCTTTGATCCTAAAATGTGAATAGCAGATGTCCCTGTGTTTCAGTGGAAGCTTTTGAAGTGTTCACAAGCTTTGTAATATCCTGGCTTATAAACTGATGGCAGAGAGAACCTTTTCAATGCTTTGAAAGGGAAGTCTGTTGAGAGCCATTACTTTGAAACCAGTTTCTCCTCGTAGCTGCAAATCGGGTATTTTTCGAGTGATGACTGGAATGATTAACTTGGTGGCCAGGAGCAGGCGCAAAGGAACAGCTAATGTAATGCCTCCTAATTCACCACCTTTGGCAGCGATGAAGAGCTTGGGCATGTCTCGCACTGAAATGCTATGGGGAGCATTTGCAACTTCATATGGAAACATTTGCTCAGTAATTCCCCTTCCTAATGTCTGCTGATTGCACTCGGTGCAAGTAATCAAGCAAACCTATTTGTTCTTCTGTGAACGGACAACGTGGTAGCATGGTAGAGCTGAACTTGGATCTAGAAGTAAGAGTCTAGAAATAGCTGTTCTCTGCTGTCATTTCCTATTGGTGAAATGTCATTACCCTGCATCAGACACAAACATGGGGGTTGTTTTTGTCTTTGTCAAGACTATTTGGAAAAACTTGTCTGTCTTCAATATCCCCGGACTCTTCTTACTACAACGCTCTCACTTAGGCTATTCCTAAATATTGCACTGAATTTCTAACTCTCTCTCCCCCCCCCGCCCATGTATTTGAGTGTTACTACGCCTGGCTTGGGGCCATGTGGTGCTATGTTCTGGGTAGATGTTACTTAGAGGTCATGTCCCTGTCCTATGTCTACTTTAATGTCATACACTGAGAATTGACGTATCTCTTCCAATTTATTGAGCTACTACACTACAGTGGTTTTCCACATTCAGTTCTTCATGTGCTACAATAGGAGTTGTTTCTGTCTTTGTTTATAAGGGGAAAGTAAGCAGCATTATACATTTGTAAGTGGACAGAATAAGGAAAGAGAGGGAGAGACATGGTAGACAGAGGACTCTGCCTACTTTGGGAAGTTGAAAATATCCTTTGTGTAGCTTTAATTTACTTTACCTGGTGGTTTTCAAAATGAGAGCTTCAGGCTTTTTCTTGATCGGTTCAATTACGGAAATTTCTTTTTAAGGGTTGGAGTATAGACTAATTCAAATAAAATGGCATGTGATGTGTTCTGAACAGAGTTTTGGATTTTGGTTTTGTTTAAAATGTAGGATTCTCTCCTGATCCAATAGAGAAATGTGTGTTTGTACACACACAAGTGTACAACACAAAAACATATGTATAGTGATGCATATTTATTTGCATTATTTATGTATATGCATAATTAATTTATAGATGTGCATGCATAAACTTTTCTCTTGAGAGGATGAGAGAAGTTCTTAGCCAGCTCTATGCATGTAGGATCCACAGACCATAATTTTGGTCTGAAAACTTAGGGAGAGTTAAAACTGAAGTGACGTTTTCATATTGGACACTTCATTAGATCTGTGTTGAAGCAGTCATTTTGTATGGAAGAACACTTGTCTTTGTGCCTAGTGAAGATTTTGTTCTAATCTTTAGCAACATATATTGTTGTTATACATAAATAGTGACACTGTGTATGTAGCCATCTCTGTTTTGACTGCAGAGGACATTATAGGAGAACTTCTTAGTGGAACTGGAAGGAGAAAGCTGATTTTTTAATTTTTTTTTTTTTTTTTGTTTTGACTGCAGAGGACATTATAGGAAAACTTCTTAGTGGAACTGGAAGGAGAGAGCTGATTTTTTTTTTTAATTTTTTTTTTTTTTCCATTTTCCCACTTGTTGTGATCCTCCCCCAAAAGGCGTACAATGTCAGATAGACAACTTTTATTTTTACAATTTCCTAAACAAGGGTGCTCTTCCAGACGGTCTGTTCTGGAGGTGAGCCTGGATGCAACTCGAGAGCTCGGAGTTGAAGTACCGTGGGCCAGGATGGAGGAAGTCACTCCCAGCCCACGTCTGACACTGGCAGGCTTCAGTCAGTACAAGGACTGAGGCTGGAATTTGGATAGGGAAGGAGTGACTGGCGTGTTACATGCCGTCTGCCTTGATGAGGGGCTGCAGATTGAAGTGCTGTATGTCTGAGAGGAAAGGACAGGACACGTTACCTTCAATTTACAACAAAGGGAGTAACGCTTACAGGGAAATGAAAAAGGCCAGCAGCTTTTCAATTACCTTGCACGTTCTCCAGTGACTGCAGGTAACTCCCACCCCCCTCCTGATTCAAGCCAGATGCTTGGCAGATGATTTTCTCTCTGACAGACGTTAAGGTCCCGTCCTCTTTGTGTACATTGGAATTGTGTCGTTTGCCACGGCACTGTATTGCTTTGGCTGAATTTTGAGGTTTCGTTAGGCTGCACTTTTATTTAAGGTAAGAGCAGCTGTATGGTCCTGTTTCATTTTATGCAAAGTAGATGTAGCCTTCCTGTTTTCTGGCAAATAGTCAAAACTGCACTTTGTTGGACAGATATCTGGAGCCCCCTCCTTAAAAGCAAGACTAACAGGTGCCTTTCTGAGATAGCGTTGTGCACAAAGAACCTGTGTGTGTTTCCTAAGCCAGGATGAACATTGTGAGGAAGTACAAGTTTGCTGGGAAAGAAATTGGCTCAAAACCTATAGTTTATTTACAGACGGAGGTGTGGGAAGGGGAGGATATGAAGTTGTAGGGGAAGCGAAGCCTGGGATTTCAGGTTAAAGCAGCACAGATGTGCATTGATTTTCATACTTGAAATACTCTCTAAGCGAAGATGGAACGTTTTGCAGAGCTGGATGAAGGCTGATCTGTTGCAAACGGAGCTTTCCCTGCGTTCAGGAAGATGTGCCCCGTGATTTATTACTCCTCAATAAAACACCAGCAGAGACGTTCTGCCATTTATCATAATAGGTAAATCCTCCGAGGCTTGTGCTCTGCAATTAGGAGAGTCATATATTTTCATCAAGTTGAGCTTTCATGTAAAGGCCTATCCCACCGACTTCCAGATGTTGTAGCGTTAAGCGGAGCGCTGGGGAGTGTTTTTCACCAGAGGGATCTTCAAGTTGTAGCTGTCACCATCCTTAAGCTCCCCCTCAGCAGTTGTCTGCTTTACTGGAGGCACTGTGTCTTTAATTGCTAACCAAGTAGTATTTTGAGGTGCAGAGGATAGCAGAGATGTACTGAACAGTAATTGTCCAGGAAATTATTTCTGCTTCACATGAACATACGGATTTTACAATGGTTTGGTTATGTAATAGTTGGTTTAGAAAAAAAGAGAGTAGAAGAGTGGAACACGTATGGACTAGTGGCATATAGAGCTGATGTAGCATCCCCAGATTTGCTCATGGTTTTGAATGTATAATTTTGTAAAGGATATGGGATATCTTTGGTTACACTGGTTAGAGTAAGTATACACGAAGGCCGTGAAAGGATGAGGTAAGTTCTCAGCTGATTTCCGCAAAGCTGCAAGCTCCGTAGATAAACAACGGTTGTGAGCTCTAGTTACAGTTTGAAATAAGCATTGGAGAAAGAGGCCAAATTTTGCCTTGCTGATATCCAAATAATTCCACATATTTTCCACCTGGAAACTTCAGTATGCCCACTGCCTGTGGCTTGGGAGCCTTTGGCTTGCATTGCTCTGTTTGTGTTTCATTAATGAGATTTTTATGTCACTCTGGCTAGAGCAGCTGTGGTTGTTGCCGTCAGTTTTTCGGAGCAAAATGGTGGATGAGTTTCCTTCTTATCTTTCTAGTATTTTTAGGTGCTGTCATGATGAACTGAAGTGTTTATTCTACTTAAATTTCTCTCTTTGTATTAACTCTTCCTCCAAATAACGTTTACAGAAAGCCCAAACAGCTGCTATATTCCATGCAGAAAACTTCCAAAGTGACCAGCCAGCCATCGAGAGCTTAATATACCCAGAAGAGTGAGTTTCCTTCTGAGTCAGACTTGCAGCAGATGGCTGGGGAAATGAGGCAAGGAAGCCAAGCAGCGTATCTCTGAAATGGAGAGGAGCGACTGAGCTGTGTGGATTGGACTTGGCTCATTCTGGAGTGTTAGGTTTTTGGCTGAGCTCAACAGCAGATGGGGAGTGACAGTGGGAAGATGAGCTGCTTGTTAACATCAACTTACAGAATGGAATTTCCCCTCAAAGCAAATTAACCCCTTTATTTAAGCAGCTATAGGCTTTCTGCTTAGGTCCATGCAGTAACAGCCACCGGAAGGAACCTTTAAAAATCCCAACAACTCGGCTGTTTGTATAACATGGCTGCTTACTGACTCTGAACTCCATTAAAACAGCCTCTCGTAACATCTGGGCTTCTATAGCATATAAAAATGTTTTCCTTCTGGCAGCAGTTTTTATGGAGATGTAATAATATACGTTTTGCAAAAAAAAAAAAATTCTATTTTCAGATTCTGCTTCTTACCAATGAGCTCGGCCTGTCCAGGTGTGGAGGAGACTCAGTGGGGAGCCTGTGGAAGTAAATGACCCGCTGCCAACTCCCCGGCTGCCCCAGATTTGGTCAATTTGCTGATAGTTCCCAAACTCACCGTAACATGTATATGTGCATTTGTGTACTTCAGATTTATATTCTCCCTCTACTGCAACTGGATCCATTCTCCAGGCAGCATGTCTCCATTACACGTAAACAATCTGACTGCAATCTAAAGGAAAAATTAAATGTCCTTGTTCTTTTTCTCCCCCCTCTTCTAGGTTATCTTTTGCCTTTAGGGTTCCAACTAAATTACATGCTTCCCCAAGCCTGTTAGAGGCTTGGCTTATTAGAAGAAACCTGTAGCTGGCCCAGATTTTTAAACTCTACCCTGAGGGAGGGATATGAACAGATGGATAAGAGAATTCAGTGGGATTAGTAAAACCCTTTGAAGACTGTTCTTCCCACTACATTTTTCTCCCAGTCTTGTTTTCATGCCATCTCAGCACATCTTGTATCAGTTGAGGTTCCTGGGATTGATGTTCATTGTTCAACTGCTTGTCTGCGGCTAGCCAGAATTTTCACCTCAAGAACTGGGGAAGATGGTCTTTTCCCCAGCCCAGATCATGGATGGTCAGCCATGGCCTCTGGATGAACATGATATGGGGCAAAGTCAGGTGAAATAAAGCAAGTATTGCATTCTGTGGTACCAGCTCGCAGTTGTTGATCTTGGTGATGAAAAAATCTCACCTAGTTCAGGTACCCAGCTCCTGTCCAGCTACCACACTAAGAACATGGTGTCATTATACACATAAGTAGACGGAGCTCTGAATTTCTACTGCAAAAGAGAGTCTCCTTCTTTCCCCCCGTACTTACTGCTGTGTACTTCCTTCCTCCTCCTGGTTAGGTAAATGTTGGTTCAGCTTTTTGGTCTAAAAAGTAAAAAGACCTGCAGGCTGTCAAATTGCTCTTTATGTGTTATTGCAGTAGCTTAAGTCATCACCAGTCTTACAGGTAGTTGTGGTTTTTGTATTTTCTGCACCTTCCGTCTCTACTGGAAGGTAAATAATGCCTAAGGTGTCTTTTGCCAGGAAATCCTGAAAATGGAGAATGTGTCCCACATGTGGTCGGAAGTAGCTGTTTGAGATGAAGATTAAAAGAAACAGCTGGTTTTGTAGGGATAGTTCACAGCTGTTAAATTGACAGCACCATCCTTGGGTGCATCTCATCAACAACAACCTTGTTTTCATATCTGCATGCTGTGCTACTGTGCTTCTTGTCGTGTTATGCCTTCACTACCGTAGGTCTCCTGCAGTCCCTTAGTAGGTAGGGAATGACAATTTTGTAGTGCCTGTCTACACCAGGGATCTGCAGCAGGGTTTTATTTTGATTTGTGGTTTTTATTACACTATGTTTCTGTTATCAACATGCAAGCCTTTGTCTCATTCGGGAATTTCTCAGTACGTTACTAGTCTGTTTGCGTATTGAAAGAATAGTTCCTCTAGGATTTTGAGAGCCACTTTCTCCATCCCTTCTCTTGATAAGGGAAAGCTGTCATGTGTCTGCCATCAAATTTCTGTGTTATGAATGGATCTGTGTCTTTCCTTCCTAGATGGAGAAAGACGAGACTGTGAGCGACTCCTCTCCACACATAGCCAATATCGGACGCTTGGTAGAGGTAAGTGCTGTGAAGCCACCACAGCTTGAGCCTGCTGCAGGTTCTCTTGCACATATTTGGTCCCATGTCTAAGAAATTTGTTGTACGCTTGCTTTTGTCTTTACAAACAAGTTACTTATTGATACCGTATCAAGTCTAATCGTGCCAATGTTGCTCAGTGTTTGATGGCTCAGTACTCCTCCTGTTGTGTCTTCTATCAGTTTATAGATACAGAAACCCCACTCTACTTTGTCTCCTGCTCATTACAGCAGTAATGTAAAACAAGTGGTCCTTTCCTCAGAACTAATTCACAATTTCCCACCCTCATGCCACTAGAATCACTTTTGGGCAGAATTATTTAAAGTCAGGCTGTGTTATACAGAACCATCACCTTAACTGAAAGTTCGGTGTGTATCAAATGCTTATTAAATCCACTGGAATTGTTTTTAATATTTGATTTTATGGCAGCTGTCAGTCATGTGTGCTCAGCATGACGAGCGAAGGATGTGATTGCATTAGCCACTCAGAAGGGCTTTGGTGCAACACTAGTTTGCTGTTTCATTGCACTGTCCCGTATGAAGCTGTTCTTGATTTCCTTGGTCTTCATAGCCACTTTGGCAAGAGAGGAGGAAATTCTCAACTAAAATAGCCTATAATGCATTTTTTAAAGGAACTGGGAAATGAAAGGAAGGCAGGTGGTACTTTTTTGATCCCTTTTCTAAGTTTTTGGCTTGAGGGAAAGCAACCTAATGAAAAAATGCTGCTTATTTACAAGATCTTTCTCAAAACTGTTTGCCATGCAGTTTTAAGGGACGAGTCGCCAGCTTAAAAGTTCGAAGCAACCCGTAAGCACAAAACTACTGACGTGTGCTAAACAACTGACTTGTCACTTAGAGTCCGTCCAGTGCCAGGAAATTACAGAATAAGGTTGGGGTAAAATGCATTTTCCTTTTCTGCAACTGAATGCAGAAAAATTGATAGCTGGACAGAAACTGCCCTCTCGTGGTCCCGAAAGGCATCTCCTAGCCTAGAGTAATTAATTCAGAGGAGAGGACAGGGATAGAGCTAAGCTTTTATTTCTTTGTCAAGAGCAGAGAGAGAGGGTCATACTACTTCTGTGAGAATTTAAATAGTAGGAGTACACCGGGCTGAATGACTCCGTGGCAAGTGTTGTACATCAAGATGAACACGTAAGATGCACAGAAGAGCATGAGTGCACCGTTCCTGAAAACAGCCGACATGACTAAAGATCTGGTCTCTTACTTTTTTCTAGGACATGGAAAACAAAATCAGAAGTACACTGAATGAGATTTATTTTGGAAAAACAAAGGACATCGTTAATGGGCTGAGGTAAGGGGCTCTCCAGCTGACTATTGGACCCCCTTTGCTTCCCTGCGTTCCCCTGCAGTGCCTGTGGTACTGTCCCCAGCCGAGCATTGATCTGGTTTTGTTTGCTGGAACTCCCCTTTCCTACACAAAGTCTTTTCATGTCCCTAATTGTTCACCTCACTGTGCTTTGGAAACATTATTTGTTGTGTGGAGTTTAGGGAATGCTTCTACCTTGTAACTATAGAAATTTGAAGCAATGTTTTAATTCCTTGTTCCCTCACCAGGAAGAAAATAGCCCAATTAGCAACACAGGCATTTCAGAATTACTTCTAATTAGGAGTTTTATTCTTTGCAGTCCTGAAAGTTGTACTTAAATCCTGACTTCTCTTTCTACTATTCTTAAAAACAGTCAGTTGGTCCCCGAATTAAGTCATGACATTAATGGTTTGTGGTATTTAGACTTTGTTTTAAATTCTCTCTTTCTCTCAACGCCACTGGTCAAAATATAGCTTACTAGAACAGATTAAGTGAATAAACCCCCTGTGCCGTTCTATAGGGAAACTGTACTGTACTTTTTTTCAACCCCTGCTCGTTTCTGGTCAGCAATTTTACATAGAAATCCCAAGCTGGTAGTTCTCATGCTTGTAGAGGAAAGTACAGAACTGGGTTGCCAAATCATTTAATTTTAAACTGCAGATAGATCTCCTGGCACAGTGTGAAAATGTAGAATAAACAAATGGCGCAAATAAGGATACTGCTGTTCTCTCACATACTGAAATGCAAAAGATGATAGAATAATGGGGCTAATTAAATATTTGTGCTGCCTTCTTAACAGCACGGGCAGAGGGAGTTGACAGTATCTGAGAAAGCAGCTGTTCTGGGTTGGGGTTTTTTTTTTCCAAACCCCAGCTTTCATAACAGGCCTCTATTTTCATTTGTGGTGTGCAGGGGTTTAGCCAGGAAGCATTTATTAACATTAAAAGGAAATATGTAATACAGTCTTTTTTCCTTGTGAACGTTGCCTTAAGCTTTTGTAATTGAATCTCTTTCCTATGTCTCCCCACTGCTCAGTTTGAGTCATGGTGCTTTGTTGCATCGGTGAGATGATCTGCTCGGAACTGGTAACACACAGAGCCTCTGGCTTGGGCTTTTCCTCTAGCCTCTTTCCTATTTCTTCTAACCTCTGTATTTACACTTATTCTTCCCGAGTGCTCTCCTGGTGGTTTCCAGAATACCAGCTCTATGTTACTGAGTTCTTCTGACTGTTCTTTTCCCTGTTTACTTCCCTCGTTTCTAAACTGCTCTCTGTAGATCTATTGATGCTATCCCCGACAACCAAAAGTATAAGCAGTTGCAGAGGGAGCTTTCTCAAGTGTTGACCCAGCGCCAGATCTACATCCAGCCTGATAACTAAACCAATCCAGGTACCCCCTGCCTGTGAGGTGTGACAACCAGCACTAAACCAGGACTCACCCAGCCAAGACCTCTGCATGATAACCGAGACCAGAACTAACCCCTAACTCCCGCAGACTGATAAATGACATTTGATCTGTGTTTCACCCAAGGGTTATTTCTTAATACGGCCAACTAAATGCTGTGATTTTTATTTTAAATATTACTCCATGCCTTCCCCCTCCCATTTGAAATAATCACGCTCTGAAATGTGGCAGGATTTACCACTTTGCACTCTAGCTTGGGCACAAGAAAGGAGCATGTGGTCCCCTACCCAAAGTGGAGTTAGCTTGGATTGCTTCGATCCAGAAGCCCTGGGACTCTGTCCCTTGTGCACCATCATTTTTTTTTACAGCTGTGGTACACCACTTCGGTGAAAAAAAACCACCCTGCAATCTTTAGCATCCTGCTTGCAGAAAGGTTGGAAATCTTGGAATTCTCACAGTTTTGAAAAAAAACAAACCATGACTGGTACTTCCCATGACTTCTGAGTAAACGTGAGCTCACCCCAATGCACATCCCCTGTTTGCCTGGTGTATCTTGAATTTCCTTGGAGCTTGGTCCTGCTCAAGCTCTGCTGAAACATTTCTAGCCTCCACTTGCTTGTGCTCTGCACAGCCTCTAAAGGGATTTGTTTTCGTTTGCTCTGGAGCTTTGAATGTCTAGGATGCACGGTGGTGACTAACCCCGAGCCAGTTTAACCTTCCACTCCAATTCATAATGAGTTACAGATGGTGTCTTACACATGTTAAGCTGACGAAGGGGAAAATGCACTGTTTGTTGATAATGGCCGAGAACCACTTCTTTAGCCTGTGACAAATGCAAATATAAAATGTATATATTTTTATTAAAGCAGTGGAAGTCTCCAGAGACAAGAGAATGGAAATACTGTTATAAAAATGTTAGGAAAATAACTGACACAAAGAGCAGTCTTGTTTACAGGAGACAGCATCCAGGCAAAATAACGTAGCTTTGAGTACTGAAAAGGGTGTGAAATGTGGTTTCTGTGGGGAGGAATCCTACCAAACTGGATCCTCACCACTGCTCTGTGTTAGCAGCTCCTGAAGTCTGGTGTTACTATTCTACCAGTGATCATATTTAAGGATTTATTTTTTTTTTTAACTGGAAATGTCTTATTGTACCATTGAAAATGGAGGTTCCTCAGCAGCTGTCTTGGAGGGCGGTGAGACAAAATGAGAAAAGAAGATCTTTTTTTCTATAGCCAGACTTCTAGCAAAAGGGAAGTCTCGCTGACAGTATCTCTGTTCTTTGGCTGCTTTGATTTGCTAATTACTCTAGGTAAGGCCCAAACTGGAAAAGCAAATTTGAGAACAGAAAAACTGGCCGCTTTTCCCACTGGTGAATATGCTGGTGGGAGGTTTTGATGCGGCTGCTCGACCCTGGGTGAACAGTCTGCAAAAAGGTTCAGGAGCTCCTCCAGCCTGGCCCTTTTCACGTTCGTGGGTGGAGGCTGGATTTCCTCTGCCTTCCCATCAGGGCCATTTGGAGGGCGAGACCGCTGACGCCCTGTCGCTGGTGGTACCGCTGACGCCCTGTCGCTGGTGATACGCTGGGGTTTTTCCAGTCTTGTAATGTACAAAATTGGGAATCTCCCTCCAGCAACTGGAGGCCGAGTGGAACTTCTGGGGAAGCGTGTCTTTTGGTGCCATCCTTGCTAGAGTGAATTTTCCTTTGATACACTCACTGAAGCGTTCACTTTGCCTTCTGCTTTCCAAATTAAAACAGGCAAGCTGAGGTTTTTTTCTTCTAAGCCTGGGTTGAGGTGCTTCTCCTTCCTACTGACTCACCCGCCAGAAGAGCTGTTAAAGCCGCCTTCTCTCAAATGCATCGCCTCTCACTTGTGTTCCCTTCTTTCCCCACAGGTCTGTGCAGACTTTTGCCGACAAATCAAAACAAGAAGCTCTTAAAAACGACCTGGTGGAGGCTTTGAAGAGAAAGCAGCAAAGTTAAAGTACTCTTCATGCTAACAAGACATGCCATGCACTCGTTAGTTTCCTTTCTTAGAAAACTCATCCCCCCCTTGCCCTTTTCTGTTACGTCACGTCACGATTTGCATTCAATACTATCCATGCAACGCCATCTTCTCCCCATGAATAAAGCTGTACAAACTTTTTCAGTCTCTGAGGCCTACTTTGCACCACATTTTACTATTGAGACCTTAGGCTACGTTTCTGTAGAAGTCCATGTATTTTTTCCCTCCCTGCCCCCTCTTCCACCCTTCCCCATTTATATGCATAAACACATGGTGTGTGAAAGAGGAAGAACTGGAAAAAAAAAAAAAATCTATTCCACGTATGTTTGGGGGCTGGGCACAGGGGATGGCTGGTGGGAGGGAGGGAAGAGAGGGTGTTCCTCGGTGTTGTACTATACTGACTAAACCAGATTTGCAAGGAGACGTTGATTAGGAGACCTGCTGAAAGTTCTGCTCTTCTATAGCCTGGTTCCAAGGCGCTTTTCTGTCAATTTTTATGGAATGCAAAAGGGGTTTTTGTTTTGATTTTGTTTTTTTGTAAAGCTTAAATTGAATCTACATCTGATACTTGAGCCTCCATACTAAAAATAAAAAAAAAAAAAGACTAAAATAAAAAAATAAAAATAAAAAAAAAATTCCCAGGAAGCAGTGTGTGCGGTTGGTGTCCTCCTTATTTCTCTTTCCTTCCTGCAGCGTTAAGTGGGGTTTGTGCCATAAGTGCTTTCCTTCGTAGCAATTGGAAGCGGTTGCTCTGGCTGGAGGTAGGCAGAGGTGGGCTCGAGAGCAAAGGCAAGCCACGAGCCCATGGGCAAGCCCAACAGCCGCTGGCTTATGTGGCCACAGAAAACAAAGCGCTTTTTTCCTCTTTTTTTAAAATCTTGTTTGTTTTAAGGCGGGTGGGACATAGGGCAGCTGTCGCACTCGTTTGCCTGCTCTACCTGAGGTGCTCAGGGCTGTGCTTTAGTGGTGGGATGGCAGGGTGGGGGTAAGGGCTGGGCTTGAGGAGCTTAAAGGGCTTCTCTAACCCAAACGGTTCTGTGATTCTATGATTCTGGGGTGTTGTCATCCCACTGGGATTGATGCTTCAGGCGTCCAGCAGATGTATTTAGAGAAAGATGTTTCCAGCTTTAC